TCGCTCCGTCAGCCAGGCTGGAGTACAGTGGCATGATCTCAGGTCACTGAAATCTCTGCCTCCCAGGCTCAAGTGATCCTCCCATCTCAGCCTCCCATGTAGTTAGGACTACAGATGCCCACCACCATGCCCGGCTAATTTTTTGTGTTTTTGGTAAAGATGGGGTTCCACTATGTTGCCCAGGCTGGTCTTGAACTCCTAAGCTCAGATGATCCACCCACCCTGGCCTCCCAAAGTGCTGGGATTACAGGTGTGAGCCACCGCCCAGCCCCACGGTGTTGTTTTTAAAAGCAACGACCGGAGAGGCTGGGACAGGGCTGTGGGAAAGACGCCTTCCTCCTCAGGGCTACCTGGGAGGGAAAAAGAGAGACCTCCAGCTCCTCACATCACAATGGCCCAGAGCATCTCCACAGATACCACCCCAGTGGCAGCAGGTGCTGTGTCAGCCCAGCCTGGGCCAGGGTCACTGTAGCTCTCCCCAGATTCTCACAAAACCCTGCTCGTGGGTACCACCTCCCTCTCCACATAGGAGCCCGTGGCTCAGGGTGAATAACTCGCCGAAGGTCCCTCCTCTCAGCCGCCCTCTGACCTCCACCCCAACGGTGTGGGTGCCTCAGGCAGCGCCACACGGCTTCCTAACTAACACCGAGCTTTGCCACGGTCAGGTGAAACTAGGCGCACGCTAGCATTCCATCCCCGCATCTCGGGGGAGCGCCCTGCAAACCCCCACATGGTGGTGCTCACCCTGGACCTGAGCTCCTGCCCACGGGCGGGGGCCGCAGGCTGCTCTCCTGCACGTTCTGCCAGGCAGACCCACACCACCCTCTCCTATCAGAACTTCTGCCTTGATTTATTTTTTAGGCCTTTCCTGTTTTTGAATCGGTAACACCTGCCTGCAGCTCCAAGTTTAAAAGGCACAGATGGGGCTCCTGAACCCCAGTTCCCTCCAGAAAGAACTGGCATGAGCTTCCAGGATTTTCTGTGCCTCTGTGGCAAGGCCGTGCTGCTGGCTTCGGCTTCTCCTGGGATCTGCCCCTCCTCTCCTCACATCCCGGGGCTGTGGGGAAGGGGGCTCGCCTGTCTCGAGGGCTGGAAAGTGCCCTGACTTGTGGGCAGGCTGTGGGCATCCAGGTTATGCCCCATCCTGGTCATAGGAGAGGACGAGGCAGTGGCCTGCCAGGGCCTGCGCTCACACCTGAGGGTCGGGGGACTGCACTAGAAGCCCACGGAGCTCTTCTAGCGCGGCTGCTGTGGCCTGCAGTGCCCCACACACTTGTGGCTCTAGGGTTCAACTCGGACAGGGAAGACAACGGCGTGGGGCCCACACCCGGTCTACGGGAGGCCCTGAGCTGCACGTGGGCGGCCTCATCTTTTCTGCGGGGGAACTGTGGCCTCCCTAGTCCCCAAACCCGCGCGCACCGTGTAGCCCAGCTCCTTGGTCCGCCCCTCCAGCAGGGCGTGCTTCTCACGGCTGCGGCTCACACGCTCGCCGTCACCCACGCTCTCTGCGTGCCTCAGCTTCTCGTGTGCGATCTCCAGCTGCTTCTGGTAGTGGTTGTGCTTCTCGATTTTGGCTTCGAAGTGCTTGAGCTCCTCCTGGAACAAGGTTTCCACAGGTGAGTGCTCCCTCTTTGTGCTCGCCACGCCATCTTGTGGTCCCGGGTGAACTGCAAGGACGCCAAGGGACAGTGCCGTACCCGGGGTGGGACATGGACAATGAGGCGGCAGCTGGGAGGCCATCACACCAGCAGCAGGTCCCAGCCTGCGCCTCCTCGGCAGTCCTAAGCCGACCCCTTCCCTGTCTCTGCAAATGGCACCCGTTCCGAATCTGGGGGGCCTCCAGCTTGTTCCCGGCCAGACTCCATGTCCAGGGGTTGTGCTTCTGTGGTGGCTGCCTCTGCACCCTGCCCCCAGCCTGCCTGGGCTCCGGTTCTGCTGGACTGTAGCTCTGTCCCTGCTCCTGTAGGCGCCCTGCCCTGCCGTGATCCCACACTCCAGACCCAGGGTCCTCCATGTGGCCCCACCTGCCAAGCCCCATGCATATGCCTGCGCCCAGCTAAGGTGCCCTAGCCCTGGAGGAAAGCTCCTGACCCCTTTCTGGGGGAGGTGCTAAGGGCCCTTCCTGGGGCCAGGAAAGTCCCAAGCCCTATGAAGGCAGGACCACGCCCACCTCACTCACGACAGACACCAGCTGGGGACCTTGGGTGAACTCACGGCCTGATACCGTGCCTGGGACTGCCCACCCAGGGACCCCCTGCTGGACTCCTCACTCCTCAGAGCCTTGCTGGGGGCTCACCGAGCTGATTTCTCCACCCTCAGAATGATCTGGCACGCCACATGCCCCAGGAGCCCCCTGCCACCTGAGGTGGTCTCCTTCCCTCCCTGGGCCTCCATCTCAGGAAGCGGTGACATCCCCAAATGATCCCAGTAGTCCTTGGTCGCCTCCCCCAGACTGTGGCTGGTTCCTGACCAACTGCTGACCATCCACAGGACCCGCACCAAGGCCACCTCAGACGTGAACACTGACAAAAGAACCAAAGCCCCTCCACAGCCCGGCCTCGCCCCTGAAACACGAGGTCCCACGCAGATGAGAAGGAAAACGCAAGCAGGTTGGCCGAGTGGTTAAGGAACAAACTGCAAGAGAATCTTCACCACACGAGAGCGCGCGGAAGGAGAGAGGGCTGCGTTTCCTTACCCGGAGCGCCTCCAGCTCCTTGTCGGTGAGGTTGGCGGACTGCGCCAGGTCCCACAGGTCAATCACCCTGGGCTCCTCGAACTCTGCAGGGGAGGAGCGAGAGCGGCCTCAGCGGCGCCTGGGGTGCACAACGCGGCCAGCCCCGCGGGAACCGCGCGGAGTGTGCATGGAGCCTATGAGGGTGTGCAGGCGCGACTTGCATGTGTGTGAAACACGCGTGCGTGCACTGAAAATCTCATGGGGCACAGAGGGCATCTGCTCAGTAGCTCACACAACCTCGCTGAAATGTGGCTACCCTGTCCCCTCGGCCAAGCAACTGCTTCTCCTTTGTGTCCAGAAACACCTGCCTCCATCAGAGCCTGGGAAGCGCCACAGTCCACCCTGGCTGCCTCTGAAGCAGGTGGCGGAGGGTGGACGTGGCCTGTGTGCAGAGGCTGCTCAGGACCTCGGGTGCGGGGCGTGCAAGTTTAGCTAGGTCCAGAGGCAGGCACAGGCCGTTTCCCTTCGGGCTCCCGGGAAGAGCCAGACAAACGGAGCCGGCTCCTGGACCCTGGTGCTCACGAAGGGACGCGGTGAGAGACGCCAGGGCCGTCACCTCTCTCCATCCAGGAGCGAGCAGTCCAGAGCCGCCTGCCCAGGGAGCCCCACAACTGCGGCTCCTGCTCCCTCCTCTGCTGACCCCTTCCTGCTCAGGCCGTCCAGCCCTCACCACTACGGCCAAAAGCCTATGGCTGACAGTCACCAGCACCAGGTCGGGCTAAGGGAGCCTGGGTTTGGGGGTGGGTGGTGAGGGGTCTTGCCCAAGGGCACACAGGTGACAGCCGCAGAGCCAACCGAGGGGCCCTGGGCCCACGTGGACACATTCAACTACTGTGCTGGAGGCTGCCTAAGGCCAGACCTTGCAGGTCCCATCCTGGAGAGGAGGCGGCGGCTCTGCCTGGCACCGGGGACAGAGACCGGCCCTGCTGTCTTATCACCATGAGGGCACAGATGCCATCTCCTGGCGGCTGCTGCCTCCTCGAGCCTACAGCAGGCCCTGGCACACAGCCGGTGCTCGGTGTGCACGTGGAGGATGAGGTACAGAATCGGAAACTGTGTGAGTGAGGCCAGCAGGCTTCTGGTAAACCCTGCACAAGGCTCTGTCCTGGGTACTGGGCAAGTAGCAGCAGCAGTGCCGAGCCTGACCACTAAGGGCCTGCAGTGGAGTGAGACCAAGACCGAGCTGCTGAGACGGAGCCACAAGTTCTGTGGCCTCAGCGGGCGTCCTGCCCCTGCCGGGCTGAGAGGGACTGACAGACAGTGTGGGTGGCATGACACGGAGACAGAGCTGGGCTTGACAAGCGGTGTCAGTTCTTGACCAACAGCAGCAACGGAGGAGCTGCGCCTCTGGGGCTGGGGAGACGCTGGGAGGGGTTGTTCCCAGGCCGCCGCCGCCACTGCTATCTGCCAGTCTCCCGCCGCCGCCACTGCTCTCTGGGGAGACGCTGGGAGGGGTTGCTCCCAGGCCGCCGCCGCCACTGCTCTCTGGGGAGACGCTGGGAGGGGTTGCTCCCAGGCCGCCGCCGCCACTGCTCTCTGCCAGTCTCCAGGAACAAGGCTGGGGACGGCCAGTGACCTTCACGGAGCAGCTCCTGGGAGCAGGGCCCGTGACCACCCCTGGGTAGACAGTGCACCGAGGGTCTTGGCTGCGTCCGCAGGCCCAGGTGCCCATCGCTCTAACCACCTGCCTGCTTGTCCCCAAAACACCACCAGAGACAGCCCGACCCTCAGGAACCGACAGTCCCAGGCGGGCACTCACCGGCCTCCGTGCTGTAGCCCTGGCGGCTGACCCTGCGCAGGCGCTCCAGGCCCTGGTTGATGCTGCGCAGCTTCTCCTTCAGCTCCGTGTGTCTGCTGTGCAGGACGTTGCCCTTGATGTCGCTGAGGTCCAAGGGGCTGATGACGTTCTCGTGGATTTCTGTAAAACCGAAGGCAGGACACCATGAGGCTGGGAGTCCGCGCCCGGCCCGCCTGGAGCACTATCTGGAATGCCCACTGCTGGGGAGCTCAAACTCGCTCTCGTTTCTGGCCGAAAACGTCCCCGTTCCGCGGTCTTGCAGCGCCGCAGAAACGACCGTTGGCACAGCTTCCTTTCCAGGTGAGACGCCGGGACACACGCACCAAGCGGAGCCTGGCGGTGACGGCTGGGGCACCAGGTCCAGAGGGCGGACTGGTCAGCTGGGTCACCCTCCATTTTACTCCAACTTTGTAGGGTGGGAAAGGCACCCATTTGGGGAGGGTCACGAGTCCAGAATGAAGGACCCATCAGCGAAGCACAGGTCTGGCAAAGGCGGCAGCTGTGCCCGTGGTGGGGGCAGGCACCAGTGAGACTCGGTTCATCCAATGCAGGCGGGTGACTCTCAGAGCCAGCCCCGCCTGCACAGCAACCTCCCAACTCACAAGTCCGGTAGAACCCTGGGAGAGGGCGTCCGGTGCCTCCTCCCCGCCCCTGCCATGTCCTGGGGGGAGCCGAGGCTGTCCACTGAGCACAGTGAGCCCCAGGTGCAAGAGGGGCGGGGGCAGGAGTGGGTGGGGGCAAGAGGGGCAGGGAGCAGGATGGGGTGGGGGCAAGGGGCACCTTCGGTCCTGCTCAGGGTCTCCAGCAGGACGTTGTACTCGTGAACTTTCTCTTTGTGATGCAGGAGCTCCCGCCAGAGCTTGTCCAGTTCTTCGCTGGAGAATTTCCCAGAGGTCTTTGCCTAAGAGGGAAACAAGGCCTGCAGTGAAACCCGCCGTGGGCTCGTGTGGCTGGGGCCGCTCTTCAGCCGACTACTCCTCACGGCCCGGCAGGCCCTTGCCTATGTGAGTGTCGGGCCCGGTTCTTGGCCTCACGACCCTCCTGAGCCTCTATTAGGCTGGGTAGGGCAGGAAAACAAAAAACAAACCGGAGAGGAGCTACTAGCAGGCAACCACTCTTCTCCTGGACGTGTCCAGGCTCAATGGGGGACGCTACTGAGCTGGCTGGGGTGGGGAGCGGAAGATCCAAGGAGGGGAACAGGGCAGCATCCCAGTGGCCCCCAGACTTGCCTGGCTCTCCTGGCTGCGGGTGGCAAGGACAGCAAGGCCATCTTCCTAGGGGGACCTCTGCCAGCCCATTCATTGTCATCCTACCTGCCTCCCGGCTACGGGGTGACGTGGATCGCGCACACCCAGGGAGGCCACACAGGGCCCTCCCTCCCTCTCTGCCCCCTTCTACCGACTCCATCTTTCCTGGCCACGGACAATCAGCTGCGACTGGGCTGGTACAAGAAGTCCAGCTGGCCCCAAATCAGTGTGATCCAGAGAAACTGTTCTGGAGCAGCAGCCGCTGGAAATGGGGGAGCTGAAGCAGGTGAACACCCCGTCACAGCCCACCAGCCCTGCTGGGTCCCAGTGCCTGGCCCCGCACCAACACCCCACACCCTTCCCAGGCACAGGCTGAAAGCCCAGCCCCACACACGAGGGCACTTTTCTAATCACAGAAGCACGTTCACAGCACCACTCACTAAATTAAAAATCTGACATAGTAAAGAACTCAGCCTGTGCTATGTCACGATCCCGTAACCTCACATGACCAGAGCTGAAGGTCTGACAGCTGCAGGCCAAACAGTGCTCCTTTACTCAAAGAGCAAGGAATTTTCTGAACAGGAAAGCTGAAAATATTCACAGAAAGACAGTGGAATGGCTTCCTTAGGAAGCCACTGTCTTCCTGAGACTTCCCCAAACCCCACCTCCCACGCAGAGCAGAGACTGCTCCCTCACAGCCCGACGAGACTGCTCCCTCAGCCCCCCGCCTTAACATTCAACACAACGGCACCAATTCTGCACGGTATGGAAACAGTCGAGGAGTACCTTGTGCCACAGCTTTTCCAGCCTGGGATCATCCAGCCCGTCTTCCTGGGTGCCACTAAGGGAGTTGCTGGCCACCTGCTGAGCGTCCTTCTTCCCGTCCAGACCATACTTGGCCAAGATGACTAGGAGAGAGGGGAGGTTCTATTTGATATGGTTTCCTGTGAAAAACAGTCAACAGCCAACATATCTGGGTTGCCACAGTCGGTGAGACAGGTTTGCCTCTCAATCTGGGTTGCCACAGTCGGCGAGACAGGTTTGCCTCTCATTTTCCAGGAGTTTCCTTTCACCAGTTTCCTGGATGACCACTGGAGATATGGCAAGAACAAGAACGTAAACAAGCGTGGGGGCTGTGGTCTCCCAGCGCTTAGAAATGGGTCCGGCGACTCACGGGACGCCCCCAGGACCTCCCTCTTTCCTACCAGGGACACGCTGGCTGCAGTCCTCCATCAAGCTGTGTCCCCTTGAGACGCAGCTGTCGGAAGCGGCTGATGGGCTGGGCTGTAAGAGTGGTAACCGATTGGCCCATCTTTCCAAACCAGTTGCACAGATTTTCAAAAACAAAATTTGCAGCCTCACCTGTTGCCGTACGGCAACAACTCTAAGGACCACAGGGCAGAGGCCACCTGCAGAGTGTGCAGGGTGATGCGGCTTTCTAACAGCCCACATTGTGTTTTTATTGGAAGGAAAAACAGTTTGTAAAGGAGAAATGTCAGTGTCAGCAGCTTCTAACAAAAAGTCACGGTAGCAGCCAGGAGGAGTAATTAGTCTGCAGTGTGCTGTGGCCCAGTCACTCGGGGAGCCCTCCAGGATCTGCCCATGCGGTGCTCCCCTAGCCCCACTTCCCCAAGGGGTACTCGGCATCTGTGGGCTGTGTCTGTCACCACACACTGCCACCAACACGATATAAAAGCAGGCGCTCAAAGCAGGCCCTGGTGCTGACAGGACTCAGCTGTGGACAAGTCTGGCACTTGGGACATGAGAGCAGAGCCCGGGGGCTGGTCTCGGCCTCCACAGGCAGCGGCTCTCCCGAGGCCCCAGTTCCCTGCGCTGTGGTGCTGTGCGACAGGCCCTCTACTAGGTCTCCTGGAATCTGGGGCCAATGCAAAGCCGCCTGCCTCCTTAGCTGGTGGTGGGCTTGCCTGCCCGCCCTTTCCTGGGGACCTGGGAATTATCCCAGGGCCCCCACCTCCCACAGAATGGGGTCCTGCCTTCCCCTCCGGGCTGAGGGCCCCGTGTGGACCTCTCCCAAGACGCTGGGCATGGAGCCTCCCTTCGCCTCACACTTCCACTCACTCCGAGGACCTCTTCACCCAGGTGGTGACTCCCGGACCCCGGCGCCTCCTCTGGGCCTTCATCCGTGACCCTACTGGACAGAATCACTCCCAGCAGGGCCTCTGCATGCCCCAGGCTCAGCAGGTCCCATCCCCACACCTCTCCCAAAGGTCCATCCTCTGTCACTGCCAGCCCTGGGGAGTGTCCCTGCCCCAGGGACACGCTGGAAGCCTCAGGCCTCCTTTCTCATCAACACCACCCTGGCCTCAGATCCCTCCTGTCTCATTCCGTCTGGAAACCTGGGTCATGGGGGTCTCAAGGCCACGTCCAGCACGTGCTCCTTGTGTTCCATCCTCTAAGCATGAAAACCCGGCCTGTGGAAAACCCGGCCTGAGGAAAGCCGTCTCTGCTGACAGCAGTCAAGAGCTGCTGCTGCTGCTGCTGGGCACGGGTCCTACAGACGCACGCTTCGAAGCTCAACATGCCGGGCCTGTCTTCCATGGCAGGGAATTTATACGTGAAGTAACTATTTTAGGCCGGGCGCGGTGGCTCATGCCTGTGATCCCAGCACTTTGGGGGGCCAAGGCAGGAGGGCCATCTGAACCCAGGAGTTTAAGACCGGCCGGGGCAGCGAAGTGAGACCCCGTCTTTTAAAATAAATAAACAATTAAATAAATAATACTAGCTGTGGGGGAAGAGAAAATAAATGAAATAAATACATACATAAATACAAAAAATTTTTTAAAAAGTGGCCTGGATGTTTCCTGGCCTTAGAAGCTGGTGCTGGGCCTGCCTGTGAAGGCCGTCCTGCCCAGCCCCCCGAGTCCAGCCACTGCTCAGCAGCGCTGAGGTCACACCCCCGGGCTATGCACCCCGAGCCCGAGAGGAAGAGAGGGGAAGACAGTGAGGGTGGGCCACGTCCTGGGGCTCTGAGGCTAGCCTGGCCCGCGCCTTCCTAGTTGGAGCCAAAAGCTCTCAGCCAGAGCCCAAAGTGGCTGGTCAGACCCCACCAAAAGGCAGAATGCCCAAGGCTGCGATCAGCAGCAGGGGCTATGGAAAGTTCTGGATTCTGGAGGTGCTGGGTTCTGCATGGAACGGAGTCACAGAGCACGGAAGCCGTAGGCGGCCTCAGGAGCATCCAGCCCTTAGAGCTCCTGGGGAGGACGAACACGGCCCCACACGCCCTGCATGTGGAGGACAGACGCCGCCCCACACTCCCTGCCTGGGGAGTGAAGTGGCCCTGGGGGCACGGTGGGGGTGAGGACAGCCACGAACCCCAGAGCAGAGCAGAGCGTGGCCTGTCTCAGGGCGGACCTCAGCATGGGCAGTGCCAAGGGCAGGTCCACAAGGTGTGCTGCCCAGGCACCTGGCTATGGCTGGTCCCCCAGGTGTGGTATCAGCCTTGACAATGGCACGGGGAACCTTGGGGGTCCAGGGGCCACATCCAGAAGATGGCAGGCAGCTGGCCAGGACGAGCCTCTCTCCTGAGTGTGGGGACGGTCTGCTCCTGGGACATCGGCTCCTAGAGTCCCACTAAGTCTTCTGCCAGGTCACTCGGCAATGGCAGAAAATAAGACAGCTCCACTTGGGCCACAGACCTGGACACCCTGCAAGGACACCGGCTGGCCCGCAGGAGGGAGCGGGTCCTTAGCCCACTTCTGTGCCCCCTGCAAGCTCCTCCGTCTCCTCCAGGCCCTGAATGCTGCCCTGCCGCATAGCCAGTCCCTTCTCCCTGCGGGGCACCTCCAGGACAGGCTCTTTCCTGGCCCTTGGGAATGGCCCTCTAGACACGCTGGTGGGGACGCAACCATCCAGAATTGTTTCAGCCACGTCTCCGCCCCCCAGGCAGCCCCTGCCGCTGCGTCTCCGCCCCCCTAGGCAGCCCCTGCCGCCGCTGTCTCCGCTCCCCAGGCAGCCCCTGCCGCTGCTGTCTCCGCCCCCCAGGCAGCCCCTGCCGCTGCGTCTCCGCCCCCCAGGCAGCCCCTGCCGCCGCTGTCTCCGCTCCCCAGGCAGCCCCTGCCGCTGCTGTCTCCGCCCCCCAGGCAGCCCCTGCCGCTGCGTCTCCGCCCCCCAGGCAGCCCCTGCCACTATGTCTTGGCTTATATCCCACCCAGACTCTTGAACATGGTGGCATAAACCAGCAAAAATGAAGCCAGCCCTTTGCCTTTAACCCAGGCGCAGTCACATGACACGTATGCTGATGTCTGCTGATGGGAGAAGAGGGGTGGCTGGAAACAGATCACCTGCTCAGGAGTCAGAAAACCCTGGCTCCAAATCTTTGCTGCACTACTCGGCTCTGCAACTCCAGACAAATTACCCTCTCTGAGCCTGTCAAACGGGATGACAGAGTTTTGAGGAGTAGGTGTTAGAGCATCAGGCCTAACGAAGGAACTCCATAGACACCTCCTCTCCTTACTAGAGACAACCCGGGCGCTGTAATGCCTGGGGCCACCAGTGCGTGGGAAAGCAGGGCTACAGCAGGCTCCGGACATGGCCAGGGCTCTGGGGCTACCCTCAGTGTGATGGCAGTCACCCACCCTCAGTGGGGTGTCCCACTTGGTTCACAACCACTGTCCTGTGAGACAGGAGGAGGAAATGGAGGTGGGGGGCCCAGGTCACACAGGGAGCAGCCGGGCAGGGGACTGGGAAAGGGGTGCCTGGGGTCAGGGAGGGGCAGCAGTTGGGTGGAGGCGCAACAGCTCCTGTGGCTGCTGCACGTAGCTGACAACAGGTGGCCGAGCACGCGACTCCCTGGAGCAGCCCCAAGCCCAGTCCCACAGGCCCACCTGGTGTGCGTCCTCTGCCCGCCAGTGTCCTGCCAACGGGCCTGTGGTGAGGGAGGATGGCGGAGGAGAGGGGTCCAAAAGGACCAGTCGCAACTCGGTCATTTAAAACCCTCCTGGTTCAGAGGACACACCTGTCTTCTGTACACTGGTACCAAGCAAGTGACTGTCCTGCTTCTTCTTGAACACCACAGGGACAAGGGGCTCACTAACCGCATTACAACTAAGTGTCCGTTCTGACTCTTGGAAAGCTATTCTGACAACATCTGGAATATGTCCCCAAACTTCAAGATGCCAGGGCAGACCTCCTTCCTCCTCTGGGAGACAGAGCCTCCTGCTGTCCTCTGGCCCCTTCCTGCGCCCAGTGCCCCTGCCCTGGTCCTCCCTCCAGCGTGCCAATGGCACTTGTGACAGCAAAGGAGCCGAGACCACGGCCAAGGGCACATCTGCGCTCAGAGGAGCTCCCCGCAGGCTGCATCCAATGGGACCCTTGGCCAAGAGCCAAGGAATCAGAGGCGTAGCCCACAGCACTGAGGCGAGCGGCCACCATCCTCGTGAGGGTGAGCCTCCCCGCAACCACTGAGGCCAGTGGCCACCTCCCTCACGAGGGTGAGCTCCCCAATCCAAATCCTAAGCTTTCTGGGCACTCGGGATGCTCAGGGGAAAGGCTCATTTTGGATATCCAGATTAAGCATAACGCAAATTCCCAAATCCAAAAACAAAATCCGACATCCAAAACACTGCCGCTCTCAAGCATTTAGGAAGAGGGATACTCGACCTGCACTAGGAAAGAAACAAACGGACCATTGAGGTTGCGTATGAGTCTCGCTTCCTTCTCCCCATCTTTGTCCAAGCCGTCAAGCTTTAGTTTCTTCCAGGCGAGTTCGTCCCTCTCCTGTATCTTCAGATCAGCGTGGAGCTCGGCCAGCCTCACGGGAGGAAGATGTAGCTGCGAATGAAGGGGAGGGGACTGTGAGCCACGAGCAGGATGGACCAGGACACAGCTGGAAACTGACCTCGGAGGAGGCTGGCCACCGGGAGGTTCCGGGAGACCAGGAGGAGGTGGAGTCAGGGTCACTGTCAGCAGGATTCAAACCCCACAGGTTTCGACAAGAGCGCGGCATGGACACCAGTCTCCAGGCCCGTCTGTATACGTGATCTGGAAACCCCAGGTCCATCGGGGGCTGCCCACCAGCAGCGGCTGCCCATTCCTGTCCGGCTGCAAGACACCCCACCCTTCCCACCCTAGCACCTGGGGACAGTCGTCGGGCACTTGGATAAACAGGGCAGGAAGAAAATACCCATTGCGTTACCATTCCACTGCAGACACCACTGCAAGGACACAGACACCCAGAAGTTCTCTTTTAAAAGAATCACTGTAATCTCAGATTGGCCCCATCTTCATTTCCCAAAGACCCTTCGTCGCCACCTCTCAAGTGTTCCATGATGCAAACTGTCTTGCTGTGATGGTTCTTACACAGCCCCAGATCCTTCTGGAGCAGGAGTCTGTCACCCTCTCACTTACCTGCTGGCGTAGACCACACAGGCAGGGCCCTGGAACGAGCTGCCGCACTGGGGCTGAGGATCTTCCCCCCCCACCCTCACACCCCTCCGCAGGGCGGGCCACACTTCCTTCATCCCACCCTCCCTCCCAGCTCTGGGACTCTGGGTGAGGGAAGGAAGGAAGTGAGGTGACCGCTGGGCACACTGCTTTTTGGTTGTAAAGACAGGATTTAGGCCAAGAGTGTCCCCATGTCAGAATGACTGGGCCAGAACGCCAGGTGGCCAAGGCAAGCAGCAGAACGAAACCCACCGGCCAGATCTCATCAACTCTGGCCTCAGGGCTGGCCCGGCGAGCCCTTCGGGGAAGAAAAGCCTCTTCCGTGCAGAGCAGGGTAGCCCAGCTGTGTGAACCGGAACGTGTCATGAGGTGGGATCAGGGTTCACAGAGCCAGGGTGCTGTCTGGAGAGGCTGCACCGCATGCCTGTCGTGACACCAGCACATGAAAGGCTCTGTGGAGTCCCGCAGCAAAGGAAGTGCTCAGCACTGTGCGGTGCAGATCCCCAAATCTCTCAGCTCTCAGGAGGGTTCCCTTCCCTGGGCACCTGCATTCTCACATTCCCCTGGGGCGGTCCCCACGAGCTGCCCGTGGTTCTAGGAGGGAACCCCAGCTCCGGCGTCTGAGTTCCAGAGGCCCATCACCCAACGCCTGTCTCTGATCATGCGTGTTTCAATACAGTCTGTTTTCCCTCAGGGGTTGGAAATATTAACCTTTAATCTATACCTCATTAGCTATTTTCTAACATAAATACGACACAAGCCAGTATCCAAAGTATGTGTGTTCAATAAAGTTTAAATAAAACAGTGAACATCCCCAGGAAGCGTCGCGAGCCGGCTGCCTTCCCAGTGTCCTGCAGCCCACACCACCTTGCAGCCCGAGGCCTCAGGAGGCCCGGCCCTCAGGCCTGCACTGCACAGGGGCACACGTTTCTTTCAAGACTCGCACGAAGCCAATTCTGGGTGTTTGGCACACCCCACACTCTGGAACCTCCTCGCCTCGCTCTGCCCGTATCTAGACTCAGCCCATCCTGCTCCCTGCAGCTCAGTCTGTGTTGGGCCTAGGAGGAAGGAGACCCCCGACCACAGGCCCTGTCGCCAGCTGGGTGCTGGGGCTGTCACAGCTCCACCCTCTCCTCTCAGAAGCCCAGCCTGACTCCACGGCCGCCCTAGCCACACAGGCCCCAGCCTCCAGGAGTTTAAAATTTACTTAGAGACAAATCTAGATCACTGAGCCATGCTCCCCAACGGTAAAAAGAGAGCACACAGCAGGCACAAAATGAATGGCAGGGCCTAGGGCAGAGGAAAGCTTCTAATTCTCTAGAAGGTTCTCTAACCCTTGGTCGGTGGTCCCAGGCAGTCTTTTATCTGGGCCCTCCTGGTAGATGCTCTGCGCCCCCATCTCTACAGGGGCTGCTTTCCAGGATTGTCCCGACCTGAAAACCCTTTCCCTGGCAGCCTGACACACGCCTACCTGCATGCCTCTTCCCCAGTCAGGCCCATTCACCCAGCCCCTTCTCCCCAGAGCTCCACCCCATGCCCCTCTGTGCCCCGGACATTCGTCTGCAGCGTCCACTGGAAGGCCCTAGGAGGCGTGAAGTCTGATCTGAGCGTCCCCAGCAGGAGGACCCGGGACAAAGAGGCACCTGAGTGATGATGAACTCTCAGAAGGGGCAGTCTGCGCCTCAGGAGGAGGGGGAGCCCACACCTGCCTATCTTGTTTGTGACCCAAACTTCGGGAGGAACAGGTCTGCTTTCATCTCTGCTTCCCCGTGGCTGCTGCTACCCCGTAGGCATCTTATCTACCGCGCTGCACTGCCCGGGAGGGCCCGAGATGCGAGGCCCACAGCGATGCTCCGAGCCAGAAGCAGCACCCTGGGGCGGGCAATCCTGGCCCACGCTCTCGAGTGTGTGCTGGCCCTGAGGGGCCCCGGGTCTGCCCTCTTTGGCTGCAGGGGAGAGGACGCAGGTGTCCCGTGACTGCCCGTGGGCTGCCCGCTGGAAAGCGGAGCTGAAGACCCCGGGCTGCTGAAGCCCTGGGCCCATCCTGGCAGGCTCACAGCCAGGCGCCAATCCCTGTAACCCGCGGTCCTCCCTGGACTCCTGTCTGCCTCCCCAGGATGCTAGGAGAGTCAAGGGCAGGTGCTCCGTGGGCTGTAAAATCTGCAACCCACAGGGAAAGTCATTTTCTCCTTCTGATTTCCCAACTCTCAGGCAACAGGGGGCCTAAATTTCACACCGCGTGTCTCCCAAAAGCCAGCTCCCTTTCCCTTGGACTGCCAGCGCTCAGCGCAGAAGGGGCCAGCCTGGTGGCCGCCACAGAAAGCAGCCCCGGCTCCGTGCAGAGGAAGACCAGCAGGTCGTGTGCAGGGCCCCAGACCCCACGTCTGGACTCTTTCACCTCTCTCAAGTTAAATGTTAATGCATCAAGTTAGAACTACCCTGTGGAAACCAAATGCAGAAAAGAACCTGTCAAACATGAAGCAGTGAGGCAAATCATCAACAACCAGGGAACGCATGCAGGGAAGAAAGCCAGCTCAGCTGAACAAACGACACTGGTCCTGTGTCCTCAGACACAAGCAGAGCCGACCGGGTCCTCCTGACCAGACCCAAGGGCCCAGTACTGCTCGGGATCTCAGCAGCGGCCCTCCCCCACACAGCACAACCCGCGTGCCAGCAGAGCATTCTGGAACTTTCCAGCAACCTGCTACTGCTATTCGATGCCCCAGGAAACCCAGGCCAGGGTCCACAGCTAAGCCACTGGTGTTAACTTGCACATATAGCACAGTTCAGGCTGGGCAGGTTCCAATGCAACTAGGACCATCAATGGACCACCTCTTCAGAGGGCACATGCCATCCTCCCAGCGTTCACCTGAGTGTCCACACCAGACTGCAAGGCACCCACCCTGAGGAGCAGGTCCACCCTGAGGAGCAGGGGACCAAGGCTTCCTGGCATGCTGCACCTGTCTCACCACGGCAGGTGGCAGTGCACTGTCCCAGCCTTGCCATCGTGTCCCAGCTCCTTCCACCTGAGCTCCGTGGACAACCATACCCGCCTTGAGCTGCTGTGAGGTCATGCATTGGTCTGGTGAGTCCTAGGTGCCCGTGGAGGCCGCCAGCTGGCCCATCCTCAGAGGCCCTTCTCAAGCCAGGGAGGATGCTTGAGAGATGGGGTGGGGCTCTGAGGACTCCTCTCTGCAGACCTCAGTTTCCACTCATCAGACCTCTGGGAACAAGATTCTTCACACACTCTCATCACAGTCACCATTCATGCCAGAACTAAGGACTGCCCGGGTGCGGTGCCTCCTGGCATTATGCCTGTAATCCCAGCACTTTGGGAGGCAGAGGCGGGAGGATCACTTGAGCCCAGGAGTTCGAGACCAGCCTGGCCAACATGGTGAAACCCCATCTCTACTAAAAATAGAAAAATCAGCCAGGCATGGTGGCGCATGCCTGTAATCCCAGCTACTCAGGAGGCGGAGGCATGAGAATGGCTTGAACCTGGGAGGTGGAGGTTGTAGTGAGCCGAGATTGCGCCACCGCACCCCAGCCTGGGCGACAGCAAGACTCTGTCAAAAAAAAAAAAAAAACCAAAAAAAACAACTAGGGACCTACGGCCAAGGACTCCAAGCTCACAGCACCATGTAGCCCAGGCCAAGAGGTACACGAGTGTGTCCCTGAGCGCGCCGCAGCTGGACCATGCGGACCCTGGAGCTTATTCCTCAGCATCAACACAACACACAGAGCTCTGAAGAGGCAGAATCCCCCGAAGGCACCTGCAAGCACAAGGGCTCTGCATGGCCTCCGACCGCCAAAGCACCAGGGACAGCCTCTGCTTAGGAGTCTTGCAACACAGCGGAGCCCACCTGTGAAACAGGAACTGGGAGAGTTCATGGGCGCTGGAGAGGATGAAGGAGCAACTCCCTGGCCGCGTCTCACCGGATGAAAGCGGGTCTCGGCGTCTTCTTGGTGGCACCCACCCCTATCTGTGCCTCAGGGCAGGTCTCACAGCCCAAGGCCATCAAAGGCAAAGGTTTCCTGAGACGCTCCCTTCACCCTATACCTACTGACACATTAAGCAATCCTATATGCCAGGACAGGGCTTTACATGCAGAAAACAGGGATGCGAGGTTTTCACGAAGCAAACCAAAGAAAGGACAAGACCGTCCTGGCTGCTGAGCACAGGTCACAGGAGGCTGAGAGCAGCCGCTGCAGAGCTGGGTGGGATGTGCTTTTCTAAAAAAGCAGCCCTTGCCTCAGTTATCTTCCAGGTGGCGACTCAAGACCCCGTCTTCGTCTGATACCCACCTAGAGTGGCAAGTCGGGTGGGGTAAGAAGCCAACTGGAGTGACTGCACAAACCATTCTCTGCCCCTACGTTCGAACTGACTGTGGCTCCTCCTGCCTCCTGACCACCCTAGGCCCTAGCACGCTCGGCAGCAAGAGCCACAGCACGAAGACCACCTGCCATGCGCCACCGCCACTGATAACCTCAAAAAGACCAGGACGGGTCTGATGCCCGCACGCTTGGCTCCGGGATACAATACCCTCGCAGCACCGCCGCCCTCCAAGCTTCCATTATCTGGAAGGAAAATCAAGACGAATGGGCTCTGCAGGCCTGCCTGCCAGAGGACCAGGCTCTCTGGAAGGGGGGAAGACACACAAAATCCCCCCAAAACACCCTCACCCTCAAAGAACTTCACATTTTGTTCAGCAAAAAACACTTGCCCACGCAACTAGAACTTCAGGACTTAAAGGGACCAGAAAGACCATGTAGTCCAAGGCTCAGTCCAAAGTGGAGGTGAGCAGCTTGCCCTACCATGGTGCCCAGGGAACCTCAGGGGAGGTTCAGGAGACAAGACCCAACCCAAAACTGAAACCGGTCAGGCGAGCACCCAGCACCGGGGGACAGGGGGACAGGGACGGTGCATGGGCAGCCCGAGGGCAGGTGTATCACTGCAGGGGCCCTGGGCTGACAAACACAGAGGACCAGCTGGAGGTGGCTGCAGGTAAGGTGGGGTGCACCAGGGCGGCCCTACAGAGCAGGTGGAAGACTTGGGCCAGGACCCAAAAGCAAAGGGAGCCGCTGGGGTTCCTGGGCCCGAGTGCACTTCCTTAGCGCCACCTCCAATCGGTCAGGGGGTCAGGGAGTCTCTTTCGGGCTCCCCATTCCTCACGGGGAGGGGGGACTCCACCCACTCAACAGATGCCCAGTGCATCGGGCACGGGGAGGCAGCGCTGCACCCCAGCTGCTCCTGGTTACACCTGTTCCCTGCTGCTGGGAGGCCGTCACCACATCCAAACCCAGCCCTGTCCTCAGCTCCTCCAGAATCCCTTCCTCCAAGAAGCCGCCCTGCCGCTCCCGCCCAGAGCATTCTCCCACCTCCGCAGGCTGAACATTACGCGTGGGGCTTGACTGCTGGTCCCAGGAGCAGCTCAGGAAGGGCCTGTGGAGCTGATGCCCAGGCGTCAATCCCCATCCCCAAGCAGTCTTATAACCGTCTGTCCCTCCCCCACCTGTTTCTCTCCTCCCTTTTCATTCCAAAAGTTCCTTCTTATTCTGCAAATCATTTACTTTTCCTCTCAAGACTCAGGAATGCTTAGAACTGGAATACTGAGACAGAGATCTAATCTGACTCCTGCATTTGAGATGAGATACTGAGGCCTAGATGGTGGCCATGGTTCTAACACACCCATTTCAGGAACACCTAACAAATGAAGCAACGGTATCTTCATGAAGAGAGCACTGGCTATCTTCATGAAGAGGCCTAGGATCACGCACCAATTAGCAAGCTGTTGTCCCGGGGGGCCCCACTGGCCAAGCCACCTTGGGGGTGCCCTTTCCCGTCGGGCCTCCGTACCTTCATCTCTCAAATGAAGGTGGTCAGGTAAGCGCCCTGTTAAGATTGACTTTCAGCATTCCCAAGGTCGCGTTTTATGTGCTCTAAACCGATCCCATCTCCTCACCTCCTCATTTCTCGCTCAAATGAACAAGCACGGGCTTGCTCCTGGGATTCCTTCTCTCCCTGGACACGTCTGTCTACCCAACATTATCTCCCTATGTGGGGAAACAATATTTTTCTTGTTTCCCCACATAGAGAGATAAGGTTGAGGGAAGCGGCAAAGGCTCGGGAGGCAGGAGACCCGTGATCTAGCCTGGTTCTGCCCCTACGCTCCGGTCAGCAGGCCGCCCAGGCTGGGGAGGGCGATACTGACCCTCGGGGTGCCGGCCGCAACCTGCTCCACGCGTCGTCGCCGCCGGCACGGGTACCTTTCCTGCTGCAGAAGGGGTCCGGGCGCCCCACT